AAGTGGCTAATGTGCTGAAATAATTTAACACATATAGTAGACAAGTAAATAAATAAATAAATATAAAATTTATAAGTAAACTAAATAATATTAATGGTCTGTAACTTTGTTAAATCTTATATTGCAGCCAATTTGTAGCTACGTGTATGGGCTTCCTCTTGAATTGTAATTGGTATTTCTTAGTGCCCTTCTTTGGGTTCATTCAACAGATGAGTATATGTTCATCCGTTTGTCGTCCACCACGCTCACACTTGTTTTCTATATTATTTTAGCTTCATACCTACTTAAACATGGGGTGCCTTGTATCTTTTAATTGTTTTGCTCTTTCTAGATCTGTGTTTACACTGTTTCTAATTTCAGGTGGGGCAATTCCTGATGAAAAATATATTTTATTTACAGTTGTTGGTCGTAGGCATCATCTTACAACTCTACAGGTATCATTAAGTGCATTATCCACATGTTTAACATGTCTTGACCTACTCTACTGCTGAAAAACATATTGTCAGTCCATTTGTTCTCAATGTGTGTGGCCAATGGCCATGCACCCCATTAAGTACCTGACAGTTTCTTCAGTAGGTAGATTGTTCCTGGTCTGTACTTTCATTTTCGTTTTAATATAATTATTATTTTAGGCTAGTCACAGTTTTGTAAAGTACTTGAGTAAAAGTATTAAAATACTTTTTTGTTACGTAAATAAATAAAAAAATAAAAAAATTTTAATAAAATAAATAAGTATTTTAAATACTTTCTCAAAGTATCTGTATTCAAATCATATAACTACCAATTTTCAAATACTTATTTGTTTATATATTTTTTATTTTAATTTATTACACTTTTATTTTTTTACTGTGAATTATACCCAACCAAAAATTCTTTTACTCCGACTAAATAAATGTAAATATTTTGATAATTACACCAAATAATATGTGGTGTAAAATGTTCTATTAAATTAATGTCTGTTGATTTATATTGTTAAAAAATGTATTTATACAAAAAATTGAAAGTATGTATCTTTAAATACTTTTTTTTAAGTATTTGTATTTGTATACTCAAATACTTTTTTTACTGAAATTACATATTTGAATACTTTTCAAAATAAATATCTATATCTGTACTTGAATACTTTTAAAACGTATCTTTTACAAGGCTGGGACTAGTAGAACACTACCCTGTGGTGGCCATTTCTTTGCTTTTTTCACCTATACTCTATTGTTGTTTATTTTCAACGTTGACGACGAGGTATACTAACCCCCTTCCATAAAGTAGAGCTATTTCTCATTTTTTTTTTTTTGTACATCACAGACTACAAGTATAAATGACATAAGCGTCAAATATGTAAAAATTATATATAATTTGCTCCAAAATCATTAGGACAAATAGGTAGTTAGGTACCTATATCAATAAAAAATTTAAATAAATTAATATATTAATATTTTTTACAATAGAAATTGTCTACTTAAACTGGTGTTTTTTTTAATCCCACAGTTTTCAGATATTCTATTCTACTTATTTCTTCCATTGTAAAATTATGCTCTCATGAGATATTGAGATGTCCTTAGAAGACGTTACACACACATTTATAATCTTCATCCTCCGTATTACAAGTGCGTAACATACTAACAACAAATTTGCCCCTCCTATTTATATTATTTTCGGTGCCCTTCAATAGGTCGATTCACTCTATCATTTTTAAGCTAAAGAAGTTGAACGTGGTCTGCTGAACGTAATTTTGGTATACTGGTAAGAGAAACTGTACATACTTTGTACGGAGAAAATAAAAATGTCCGTGTAGCGTCCTCTTAATTTCTAGTTTGAAGGAGAAGAGCTCATAAATAAATATGCTTTCACTTTGTAATTTTAGTAAGACATTAACTCTTACTATAAAATTATAATAATAGTAATAATACATTAATATGAACTAATCAATGAGCAACATAAAATTAGTCTTTTAATGCCGCAATAATTCATCTAGGTACGTATTTTGTTCGTTAAGTAGCCTCATCAGGAATTTCAGCCCACATTTCTGATGAATATATGTACTACCTATTCTAGAATATAGAATCAATGGATGTCCCCAACATGTAACCATTGGCCATTTCTCTTAAATATCTATATTTTAGTTCATTATTAATTATTACCATTTTTTGTAATTATTTTTCGGTGTATATAGCTTTCGCAGTTACACGAAATGCGAATGTTATATTTTCCTGAAATAAACAATACACCTAAAATATTATAATTTTTAAGTTATAACTATTTAAACTGACACTTTATCATAATTAAATTTGAAGAAATTTGTCAGGGATTTTGGCGCTTTTGTACGATACTATTTATTTTTTGCTATTATCTCGTTTTGGCGCTTATTTCTGCCACCGGACTACAGTTGCAGCATAGAACAATTATAGGTTGTAGGTATACGGTATGTCATATAGGTACCTACTATTATAAACATTGAAAATAATTGTCCGAACTCCCATCGACATTACACTGATTGGCAATTAGTCATTACTCATTAGTCAAATTAAATGTATAGATGTACCTGAGTAAGACGGCTGTAGGTATACTATGTTGTAACTTGTAATTTATGTCTCTCATAGTCTCACAGGTACCTACCTACGCAATACGAATTGATCACGTATTATTATTATGCCTGTGTGCACAGTGACACGTGTGCAGTTTAGACGTTTATTTTATTTAATTATATTTAAAACATATTTTTATGGACTATGACATAAATATCTATATAGGCAGGTACTTTAATTATTTACCTTTTATTTGATCGCATATTAACATCACTGCAGAAAGAGACCCGCAGAAAGTCTTGGGTTTCATTAAACTTGAACAAATGAATATATTAGAGTTTATTTTGTTATTTGAAGTACTTGATTATTGTATTGAGTGTTCTACGAATACAAATTACAATCATCAGATACATACCTACTAAGTGGGTAGGTATATTATTATCACTGATTATATTGTGACTACCATTATGTAGTCCGTGGTTATTATGCACAGATGTCTATATTAATTACCTACCACTACTATATAGAAATATACTATATTATGTACCAAGCCTGGACAAGTTAATAATAATTTTTGACCGAGTTAAGTTAAGTTGATATATACAACATTTAAAAAAGGTTAATAGTTATCCTACTTTTTAGGCTTACAAAATTAGGTACCTATTGTTTTATATTATAAAATAAATATCATCGTGGTCCGTGGAATTGGTTTTTTGCACTGCAAAAATTAACAATATTCACTGCACAAAATGTGTTTCACTACACACTAAAAAAACCCTGAGGTACCTATCGACTACCAATTGAATTATCAATATTTATTTCAAATTTGTTTTCAAAATGTTTAACCTTTTATAAATGTAATTTTTATAAAAAAAATTATCAAAATATAAACTGCAGTTTCCAAATTAATATTAAACGTACATTTTTAGGGAACAATTTGAATTATGTGTCTATTATTGTTTCATCATTTATATAATAGTATTTGGTAAGTACAACAAACGAAAAAAACAAATACATTTTTTAGCCTCCACAGACCCTTGCAATGGCATTGTATGCGCTTGCTGCATAATTATGACGTATTTATGACTTGCCTACATAGGTATAATAGGTACATATGTAAACATATTATGTATACATATTTTAATTACCAATACGCACGCTTGTAATACATTCATTTTTATGTTATCGTGTTTTATAAGATATCGTTTCGACATATTTTAATACTTTAACAATTTAACTTGTTGTCACGTAAACGTAGAAGCGTAGGACACTGTAGACGTATAGCGTCTAGGACCACTAATATTTCATATTTTCATTCGCTAATACTACAATTTGCTAATCCATTAGATAAGTAAAAACAGTAACCATGTAACTTTGTGGCTGAAGTTATTAAACCGATTAGCCACCGGAATAATTCCTTGTTTCCGGAATGCACGAACGTTCTGAGATTGAAGAGATTAACAATGGTTCAAGGTCTAATAGCTTTAAATCGTTGTCAGTCACCATGAAATATTAAATATGTTTTCCCGTGGAACATGAGTTTGCTTTTATGATGCATAATAATATTATTATAATTATTAATGGCCAATGGGCAATGGGCTATGCATAGTCATGGGCACGAATAGCTATAACTTATAACAATTTTGAAATTAAAATGGGTAATAATAACTCAATTACTGAATTACCTCTAAGACATTTAATTGTTATTGAAAGGGTATTAAGATATCTTGTGGGCTTGTGGTACATTGGTGCCAGGTATACTGTATGTAGGTACCGCATATTGCATTGATCTATTATAAAGTAATTGGTAATTTAAAACCACTTAATAGGTTTACGGTGGGTATTAGGATGTAGAAACGTATATATATATATATTATAGGCAGGTACCTATGTTAATAGACGCGTAGGTCCCTACATACATACGAAAACCCTGTTATTAAATCATTAATAGGTAGGTGTCTATGTACAGACATCAAACACATATGAGGTACCTATAGAACTATATCAGTGTATTACATTTACATATTATAATATAATTGAAGATATAATTTTAGATAGGTAGTCATTTCGTATTTTCGTTGGTAAAAATCGAGTATGGTTCAACGACTGAATAGGCAAGGTAGGTTACCTACTGAATTATTAATACTTCAATAAATTAGTGTTGAAAATAGTCAACGCTGAACGCATGCGTGCATGGAATAGTATTTAATGTTAACTATTAAGTACAACCAGCTTGAATATTAGGTACTGTATTAGACATTAGTAATTAGTATTTTAGCATGTACCTACAAATTCACTGAACTGCTACCAAAATACCAAAAACAAAATATGATCATATTATATACCGTATTAGTTGCTACCAATAAAAATACTTACTGTGGTTGTGCTTGTGACTTGTGGTAGGGGTTGCTGATAGTTACAGTAATATAATGGGTATGGGTAGGTACCTAACAGGTGTCAGATGACGGTACTTGTACATTTATCATTTTGGTTATGCTAGTGATAAACATTGCGAATACACAAAATGTGATAACAAGACAAGCAATAACATCGTAGTATCGTACATGGAGACGGATAAATCAAGCATAATTTTGAAAAGTATTAAGTAATGATAATAATTGCATTTTAACTTTAAAGTAACACTATACATTTAAATAGGTACCTATTTAACAAACCAATCGACAATGATGTAAATCAACTAAATTGAACTCAAGTTGTTGGTTTTCAAAGTTCTATACATTTTCAGTAAACTATCCTTTTTTGTTATAATATTTACATGCATATTTTAACTAACAAAGTACCTAATAATGTATTTATATTTGTTTTATTTTTATTTTTAGCATATCAGGCTTAATGTCCTTGTTTGTGGATGGATAGTTCTATGTCATTCATAGACATTTAAATCAATTGAAGCCAAACCAACTTAACTAATATGATACGATGCTCAATTTTTGGAAAACAATTCAATCTAAAAAGAGTTCAACTCCATCAGCTAATATCAATAACGTTGGACTGAGCATTAGCAATGATGGGCTACTGCCTCTTAAAGATTTTGAATATGAAGAGAGTGGTAAGTAATTATACTAGTCTTTTTGTGAAGTAAAAGTACTTATTTAGATTTTTAATTTTCAACAGATCTTTATGCTCTGGAAAAATGTAGATTATCATTGCATTTTGGTGAAGCATTGGTGTTGGATAATAGTGCACTCTTATCCATGTTTAGACAATTTTTAGACCACAGAAATTTACTATCACTTTACCATTTGTACATGGCGTTATTGGGTCGTACAGATATTGAAGATGAGTTATTACGTACAAATTTATTAAGAAACATCTCAGTTCATCGTATTCATTTTCCCGATCAACTAATAGCTAAAATTAATAATCATAGTAAACATTTAGATATTGGTGATTTAAAAGAAGTTACCGATAAGGTTTATGTAATATTACAAGAGTAAGTATCTTTATTACAACATACATTTTCTATTTTATTATTATAGATGGAGACTAAATAAACTGTCCATATCATATTATTATGTAATTTTTTATCCTTAGATATTGGAATAGTTTTGTCCAGACTGATATGTTTTGTAAATACCAAGTAGATGTCTTAACAGGCGGACAAGTTACTCTTGGTGATATACTGCTTTGTGATGGACTTCTTTCTTATTTCATGGAGGTATAATGATGACATTCGTGACATTAATTTAATCACATCTTTATTAGTTTACTTTTAAACGATTGACTTAAACATTAAAAATATAACTTTCATCTCTAGGCGTAATTCCAGAATTTAGGCTACTATACGAATATGATAGTTTACACTTAATTTTGTTATATTTATTAACTATTAAATTTAATATTATTTTAATCCACTCTAATTTTCAAAATTCAAAAGAGTTAGTTTTTAATTAATTGTATAATTATTGTCACCAAAAACAGTTCAAATGTTACTATGTATTTTGGTTTACTACTTAACATACTATTCAGAGATTTTTTTAGGTTTGATAACTTTAAAAAAGTAATTTAAACTTACACTATTATTATATTTTATTTATATCAAAATGATTGTTATTCAGGTTCTTCACTTGCCTACTATTATTATAATTAATAGTATTTATTATCATTACCATCTTAAGAAAAACACAAATTAAATATTTAATTTGTGCTTTTATATAATGATTGATGTTTAATCTTGAAAGTAAATTATAATTTACAGATGACTATTCCAAATTAAAAAAAATATATACAAAATAGTATTTAAATTAATTAATTTAAAAGATATTGATTAATTAAAATATTACTTTTTAATTTTAAATATAGAACTAAATAAAATAGTTTTTGTTAATTTTTTTTATAGTTCCTTGACAGTGAAGGGTGTAGATCTATTGTCGAGTTCTGGTTAGCAGCTACAAATTTTAAGAGTTGTGTGGAACAATTAAAAAATACTTCTGTTAACTATGAACAAGCACAAAGTGACGCTATTTGTATTTATGAAAAGTAACTGAAGTCCATTAATAATTAAGTATTAATATTTTATTAACATTTTGTTATAATAAAACAATCTTAACAGGTATCTTTCTCTTCAAGCCACTTGTTCACTTGGTTTCACTGATCAAGTAAGAATTACTGTCGAAGAATCTATATGCCCAGCTGACATACAAGGCCAAACTGTTACTACAATTAGCCAGTGTTTTAGATCTGCCGTTTTAGTGGTCCTAGCATTTTTACGTCATAGATGTTTAATGCCATTCCTATCATCTCAACATTATGTACGTTATTTGTCCGAATTAATAAAAGCTGGAAATTCCTACCAAACTCTATCACAAGACAATGAATCATCTAGTTCCTCAGTTTCTGAGTATAGTACTAATTCAAAACGATCAATGTCTTCTCTTTTACCTTATTCGGCCAGTACCGATTCATTATGGAGAAAAAGACAGCAAAGGTGAGCCAAATGCTAACTTCTAATTATCTAATAGTATATTATACATTATACAGCAGAATTTTGTAATACAAAAAAAAATAAAAATAACAATAGCTTATTGAAAGTAGTATTACGATTAGTTCAATAATTTATGCTCCACTTTATTTTTTATTAAAGTATGATGTTTAAGTGAAGATGTGAAACTCAATACGATAAAGGTAATATTGTACACATAGCTTTTTAGCTAATATGGATTGTAATATTCAAAAACTAAACTCATATTTTTATCAGGTAATTGAGTAACCAATAACATGTATAAATGGGTTTAGATTGATTGAGAAATTATTAAGGACATTATTTAAAACTAAAATCCATTGCTAATTTTTTTCCCAAAGTCAAAAAAAATATTTAAATTAAATTATTAAATTTATAAAACAAAGTTAACAAAAATATTGTATGGCATTTTATTACAATTTTAATGATTATGAATTTATGAAATGCAGTAGATCACATATTGTATAAATTATCATATTTTTTTTACCATCATGCATGTTTATATTTTTTATTCTATTAGTGGCTTAAGTTTTGGTCGAGTTGACGAATATGGACGTTTTGAAAGGAACATAGAACCAGATCCCGATAAAAACAAAGGTGTGTTAAATTTGTATTTTAAGTTTTAATAATTACTTGGATTATTAATATTATTTTTTAGAATCTGGCATCAGAAGAATGATGAAAAAATTTGTAAATAAAGAGGGTGTAAAAATGCAAGAAGATATGGCATGGCAAGTAGCTGAAATGATTATAAAAGACGTGACAAGTGTGACAATGGCAAATAATGATGAAGATTTTGGTGCAGAATAAAAAACTATACAATAATTTATTATAATATATGTTATAAAGTTAACAAAAAAATATTAATTTGTTACATGTAAAGAAAAGACAGGTAATTAATTGTGATTGAAAATGCACATTTTTGTAAAATATTTACTTACATTGATAATATTTTTTTATCCATTACAAATATTTATTATAATTTGTTAAACTATTAATTGTTATATGATTAAATGTTTAATTTATATGATGTTGCATATTAGTATCAATTTGTATCATAAGCATTTATGTTAAAATTTTGTATTTTATTTATTTATTCTCAGGTTTCAAGTATTAAAATTTATTTTTAAAATTTTTAATTTTTACAATTTAAAATTAAACCAATTCAAACCTTTTATCTATAGACCAATATCATAAATTACACTCATTACATTCAATCACAATAGGTATTATTAATTTAAGACGCATGGATCCAATATCATTGTGTCTACTAAAATACACTTTAGGGGAATAATGATTCTGTTCTGTGGAAACAACCAAATTTGATTATTTTCTCTTAACTAATAGATGGTAGTATTCTACAGGTCACAATTAACTCCGTTTTTCAATAGTTTAATCTTAAACTTTATAATATGTCTTTAAAAATAAGACAATTTTAAGATTGTTTTTTACTAATTATTTTATATCATTACTTGAAATGTTTGTAATAAGTCTTCTTTCAGATGAAAAAATAGTTAAATCCGGAAATTCTGCCTAAGAGTTTTTAATGTGATATTTCTGGCAGGTATAATACGCCATATTAACCCCTGCAGCCTTATAGGCGTAGCGCAGTATATTAGTGGAAAAGCATTACAGTTAAGGTGGCAACTAAAATTCAAAATATAATTTTAAAATTTTATAAAATTGTGGGAAAATTGAAAGATTGTCATTTATAATATTATAATATTAAAAATATTACTATTCGTTTAAAAAACTCTGATATCATCAGATCCGATTGCAGATAGGAAAAAAAACAGTTGATTAGTTTGTGTTTTTTGTAAATGATTGGACTTTTATTTTAGATTCTGAGTGGAGCGCTGACTATATTGACTACGATGACGTTTTTAGTTTTGTGTCTGTCATCACGGTTTGGAGCAGTAAAAAAACTTCGATTTTCTCCAACAGCAACTTTTCTGGTAGGAAAGTGATCTCGTTGGTGCATTCGGGAGGTCAAAATTTAAAATTCCCATTCGTTTTCAAAAGCGGCAGGAAAAGCAAACATAAAATTAAAGAAAAATGAAAATTTTTACTCAAAACTAGTTTTCGAAAAAATCAATTTTATTTGTAGTCCAAATTTTAAAAAAGGACCATAGTCCATAGATACATGCAATTTTCACAGAATGTTTGTGTTGAACGTAAGTGCACATCAATTTTTTATGAGCGTTTGAATTTCAAATTTTGATAAAATACTCAAAAATCACTAAAATCTGCAAAAGATCAAGTTAACAGATTCATAATTGTTTGTGTTTCAAATAATATTATTTTTATTCACAAAATAAATTTTATTTAAATTATCACGGCTGACAGGCGAGGATTGCGGTTGTTGGTGTCGCTTGTTCGAGAGACCATCAGGCGACTCGGCTCGGGCCAGGCTACTTCGCAGGCTACCAAATACTTTCAATTTGAATACGATCACCGAAAGCCGTACCTATAGGCTATAGTTACTTACGAAAGTTACTCGTATGCACTTATTTTTAACTTTTTAAGCACATCCCATCGGTTATTGTACAGCTATTATTAATATATCTATTTAATTCTCAGGTACTGGAGAAATGAAGAAGCATAATGCTAAATTGTTACCTACATCGGAGATATCACCTTCTACCATCGCAAAATGAAACAAACGTTAGGTATATATCTATTTTCTTGATCTTTACTCTAAAGTTAACAGAATCTTTTACAATATAAGTGCTACATGTATTGGTATTTGACACCAAATTAGTAGTTTTGGTCATGTGATCTATACAATTGATCCATTAAAAAAAATGTCTATAAGCAATGCAGTAAATTCTCCTTATAACGGATTCGCTCGTACCAACTGATTTTTCCATTACGAAGGAGTTTCGTTGTATTCGTTGTAGGGATACTAAAATGTACGGGTTATAGGTTGTTATTTTCCTCTGTAAGGGGATTTCCGTCTTATAGAGGTTTTACTGTATAATATAATACTCTATGGTGGTTTAAGTTGTCAATACCACTGATAGAAGATTTATAAAAAAAAAATTATTAAATATTATAATATATTGTATAACATTTAGCATGTTTATCACCTACAAATTTCGAATGTAACACGGCGCTTGGTGTATGCAATATTGATACATACGATTGGGTGTTACCAGTTCCTACAATATTATACCTAATAACAATTTGTTACATTGGTCAAATAACCTATAAATATAGAAAAAATGAACATTAATTGATTTTTGATATTATGGTTGTAATTCAAAAACGAGTAACTTTAGACCCTTGAAATTTTCATCAAATAATTTATTGGCATTTTTCATATGTCGTAAGATTTTCAAAATAGTATGACTTCTATCAGCTATTTAAAGCCATGAAAATTTTTTCGCATTTTGTAAATTTAATACGAGATTTCTCATATGTTGTTAAGTAAAAAAAATATTAAAGATAACTACATTTGCATGATTATTTTTTATTTTTAAAGTTCAAATTTCTACAAGATTCATTAAAATCATTAGCATGTGCAAATTATTTTTCTGTAAGAAATCCATAGAAACTTTTCTTCTTATAGCTGAAATTTGAAAATTGAATGAAAGATTCTTCATAAGTTATCCCATCCTCTACAACAAAAAAAATTTACCTGGAAGTAACTCTATTCATAGTCATGACTCATGACTCACGCCACCCATGAGATATTTTCAATATTTATAATTAATTTTTTTTAAAATTATTTAATAACTAGGAATACTTCTGTATAGCAGAGTGGAACTCACTTGTTCATTTTTTAAAAAAATAACATTTTCAAGTGTTAGCTAAACAAATTGAACGTTATACATTTTCAATTACAAAATTTTTTTTTTTTTCGGCTCAGAATCTAATTGAATTTTGTTTAAATTAAAATTAAGTATTTTTCCTTTGATTTTTTTTAATTTGGGTTTTTTTCCAATTACCAAAAAACTATATCTAATGTATTTACTCAAATTGTAAATTATTGTAATCAACAGCAATCAAAAAATATTCTTTATCATTATTTTACCTTTACAAAGTAAAAATTATTTATCTTGAATATTTTCATTTTTTTAGTTAATTGTATAAATTAAATTGATTTAATTCAGTTTTATCAGAATCTAATCTCTAATGTAATTTTTTTTTAATCAATGGTCATTAAAAATTCTTCTGCTTGGTTGCCTGTATATTCTAAATTTTGAAGTTTTTTTGTGAGCATAATAGGTGGGAAAATTGGAGGATATGCTTTGTTTTTCCGCTCGTGAAATTACAATTCTATTAGTTCCAGAAATAGAGGTTTGATAAAAATAATTCAGAAATTCTTAATTTTGTCAGTTTTATGACATAATACTTGTAATTAAGTTAGTACCTAGATAGTAGATAATTGTATCTAAACGTATAATATAGGTACCTAGGCATATTATGTACTTATTACATTCTACTTCCTTTTCCCCCCTAAAGAAATTTACCGTTATATACTTAATATTTAGATACCAATAATAATTTTTATTAATTATGTGTAAGCATTAAACATACCTAATTTTATTACTTCTAACAAAAATTGGACATACCGTCCAGACATGTTATTTGACACGTGGTGAAATAAAATAAAATAAAATCTATAATGCCATAAAAACATATAATATATAATGTATAGTATAAAAATCTTTAAAATATAAAACATAATTCAATAAACACTCTAAACCAATAATAAAAATAAAAACGTTCATCTATACAGACAACTTAATAAGCTCAATAATAATTATAAATACACAATATCAAATAGTATTATATAAGAAAATTACTATGTTAGCAATTAAGATTGAAAAAGATAACATGTGTTTTGCAGGAGCTTTAGAATGTGCTTGCATTTCATTGGAATAGTTTGTACTTTCAATAACATAAATACTATTATCCACTTTAATTTCAAAATTCACTAATTGTAATAGTGTTTCTTTTGTTCGAGAATCTAATAATTCAGAATGATTTTCCAGTAATGCATTTGCAGATTTGGGTGTTAAATATTTCATATGGGATCCATCCATTAACTATTGTTACAGTTTATAAAAAGTTTAGAAATAGATTAGTATAAAGTTTAAAAATATAAAGAAGATATTATAAGTTACAATACTGATCATTTTTCTTACTAACCTTGATTTGTTGTTCATTGAGACATTTGACAGTATTTGAAGAAAGTCCTTCTAATGCTTCTGGATTAAAATTTAATAAGAGTTGCCATTGGGTGATGTTAATTCCTATATAGACAATTTCAAATTACAATATTATGTATTATAGTTGCTAATTATTATTTACAATTAAATAATAGTACCAGAGAGAATAATTCCCATACGTTCCACTTCAGCAGTTTTCCAAGAATTTGACTGTCCAAGAACAGAAACTGCTATTGATGCCAAATTTTTTATACAAGACAGATAACAAGATTGTATAGTATTGAAAGCTGAGCTTGTTTTCCAGAATAATTCTTTATTAGGCATAATTATTTTGGAATAATGAGGTGGTAATTTACATATCAATGAACCAAATGATCCCCATAAATGCGAAGGCATTTGTGCTTTAGATTTTGTTAAAAATTGTTTTTTTATCTCCTCACGCTAAAAATTAGCATAATATAATATTATTATCAATGAAAAATATGCTCGATTTATGTGTATACATACAATTTGATCAGTTTTTGTGTATTTAGAAAGTAAATGTATCAATTCCAAAGACCAAGGTCTATCAATGTTCAAGTCTAGTGTCTGAACATCATTTACCAATAAACCCGACAAAATAGAACCATACGTGTGT